TATATATATATATATATTAAATACTTCATCCGTTCCTAAATATCTGTCGTTTTACACAATTTTTTTTGTTTCATAATACCTGTCGTTTAATGAAACCAAAACATAATTACTATTTTTTCTTCCAAATTTACCCTTAACTTTTCAATGCATTAAATTAGGTGAAAACTAAGTACCTTTCATATTCATTTCCTTCCCAATACGTATTGAATAAGAATATTTTAGTCTTCTACAATTATTTTTTACTCATATTAGAGTTATTTAATAGTTTCTTTAATTCCTGTGTAAAAATCTTAAACGACAGATATTTAAGAATTGAGGGAATAGTAACATACTCAACAAAAAAATAGTAACATCAAACAGTAACATGCTCAATAAAAAATTAAATTAAAAATTTAATCATTGTACTAAAGTGACATCATATGTGAGTATTTATTCTGTTGTGGCGGTGTCACTCTATTACAATAATTAAATTTTTATTGAGCATATTACTGTTTGATGTTATTATATATATAAATGGCGTTAACGCATTTTTACAAAAGATGAGCTGGGATTACGTTAGGTTGCTAAGATGATGTCATAATATACAGGGCTTTGAAAGCTAAGACAACAGAATTATAGTGGTTCCCTAATTTGGGAGCTCGGCTAGTCCACTCTGGAATAGAGGCTCTTGTTCTCTTTTTTTTATTCACGGTGATTACAAGGTTGCTATGTCTTATTTTTGCTACTCGGGTTCTTTTTTTTTCTCTGTTAGGGGGTGTTACCTTGCATTTATAAGGTCATTTCCTGCTAAGAAGGATCTTAGCCGAGATTCTTGCCCTTATATCGTGAGCTTCTCCTTAATTATAGGAGAAGATATTGGTTTGTTGAGATTGAGTGTCTTGATTACAGTTTCCTAATGCTTTAGGATCCTCTCGTGGTTATCCAACTGTTATCTTGCCTTAAGAGACACTTGGCCCTTACCCTCTGACCTCTACTAATGTGTCTGACATCCTGGTCCGAGCTAACCTCCTGATCTTAGCACTTGGAATTTATTTTAGGTATCATCAGTTGCCCCCAAGCCCTTGGCTTAAGCGAGCTTGGGCATGGGCTGAGCTTCTTTCGCATTGGACCAAGCCTGCACCTAGCTGACCTTAGTCTGTATGTGAGATGCACGTGGGGGGGGGGCTCTTTGACGATTTACAGCAATCATGGCTTCCTCGATTCCCGTGCATATTTCAGCCCACGTCACTCAAGCTTTAAATGCTCAAACGACTATCCAAAAACTACTCAAAACTCCCTGTTCATCTTCTGCGCTGTTCACATTTGCCTCTGCCTCTTTTCCTCTGCAATTCCTGGGTTTTTCTACACGCGATTCACTCATTCTCTGCTCAAAATTGCGTTTTCCAGGTACGCTTCGAAGTCTTGCTTTGCTTCTTCTCTCCAATTTCATCCTCGATTACTGTTTGTTGCTCTATTCCCTGTCTAGGTACGCCCTTTCTGCCCCCTTCTCTTTCTCTTACCTTTCCCCGCTCTGGAGCCCTCAAATTCGAGGTGGGCGTTGTTTTTCTGGGTTGTTTTGATTCTTTTACTTTTAGAATCGAGATTGTTGTTTATCTCCTCTTCCCCGCTTTGTGGATTGGAACTCCACTGTGCGAATACTTACCATTGGGGGGTACAGTGTTGACCCTAGGATTATTAGGGGGTGTTTGATTAGTATTCCTCCTCTCTATCATTCTTTCAATCTGCCTTTCTCTCTACCAATCATGTTTGCCTCCTCTAGAACAACTCTTTCCTCTGGTTCCTTCTTAGTCGATAGGTCTGTCGAAAGAGATTTTGATTTAGGGGATGTAAGTGACGAGATTGACAACTTTCCTGGTGTAGATTCTGCCAAGGTAGAGGTGAAAACCAAGGAGGCCCCCTCCACCTCTTCTCCCATGCCTGATAGACCTGATAAGGGTAAGGGCAAAGTAAGTGGTGTGGGAGTCATTATTTCTGGCACAGGGGCTGCCTTTAGGAACGCTGAACTTGTAAGTCCCAGCAGACTTACCCCTTCTGACCTGAAGGTTCTCAGTGCTCGCTTTCGTTTCCCCCTAGGGGTTCAGCCCTGAAGTCCTGATAAGTACACCACATATGTTCACCATGTCCACAAGAAGGTCTATTTCTTCCTGGCAGCTTTTGATAACGGACTTCGCTTCCCTATTCATCCCTTAATCAAAGGTGTCCTTCAACACTTCAATGTCTGCCCTACCCAGCTCTCCCCCCAACATCTAGGGTGTTCTTATGGGTTTACTAGTCTTCTTTAAGGACCATAAGTTTGGGGGTCCCTACTATTTCCTTACTTATAGAGCTGTTCAATGTCAAGCAGACCTCCTCTGACAGTTTTCTGTATATTTTCAGGAGGACTAAGGCCAAACAGGTCATCTCTGACCTCCCAAGCTCCCACAAGGGCTGAAAGAAATAATTTTTCTTTGTAGGGGGTACACAGTGGGAGTTCAACTCAGAGGATAAAATTGATTCCCTCCCCATCCCTACAAAAGTGGTCTGCCCTCGATAATTTGGGTATGTTTTTGCCTAGACCGTATTTAATCCAAGCTTGGCTGCTTTGTTAACTTATTTCTTGTTTTTCTTGGTTTTCTAGGTTCCGACCTGAGCTCAGCGCTGAAGAAGAGCGAGTATTGTGAAAATTAAAAAAATGCAAACCAGAGAAATACTCTGAGCTCATCCAACCTTGGGCTCTCGTAGAACACGGGTTCTGCTTTCCTGAGGTGAGGGTTGAAGCTCCCCTTCCACTTTTCGTTGCTGGCTCCATCCCGCTTTCCGCCGAAGATATATCATGTAACACTTTCCTCCTGCCTTTGATTCTTCTATCTTCTTTTCTCCACTAAAGGATAAGACTTAGCTGTTTTTAGGTCTCTTAGGTTCATCCTCAATAGAGCCCACTGCTGCTGAACTCAGGGCCAAGCTTTCTCTAATGAAGAAGATCAAGAGTAGCGGCAAGAGCGGTGGTAAGCGCAAGTCAAAATCTAGCTCTGGCGATGGCTCCATACCTCCTGCCAAGGTGCCTAGGACTGACATGTCACATACTTCCTCTACCCCAACTGTCCCAGATCTCCCCTCTCAAGGTGTTTCACTTTCTGCTCTTAGCGCTGCTGTTTCAGGACAAGCATTTCCTTCAG